TGTCATGTTGTGAGAAAGCCTCGTGTCTCGCCAGTGCTGACGAAAGAACATGTCCAATCCAAATTCCTAACGATAGGATAGGACATAGCTCATTACTTTGCTTTAATTATTAAAATAGTTTTGCCATTTTGAAAAAGCGATTAACACCTGGGAGGCGTACAAGGCGGTCTCTCTGGCAAGTGCATGGGGGTGGAGAGGAGCAGATTCACAAAGCCCTTCCTCCTATGTATTGATTCTAATTTAAAGGTCTTTTGTCGAGAGAAAATTCTTAAGATGCATCTTAATTCTGGTCCCTAAATTGGTCCATGATTCTGGTCCAGGGAACCGTGATTGGGAATCCCTGGCCGAGGTTGTTGTGTTGTGTTTCTCTCAGGGTGCTTCCGGCTCCACGCCTGGGAGTATGCTTGGGAAACCATACAAAACAACCCAACCCACTCACGATTATTTTTTCTCCTTCCATGCGTACGATGATGAATAATGCGTAGTTTTTTTGTTTTTGTTTTTTGATCGCTTTCAAAATAACTAGTACGTAAGAGTTAACCACATGCACCCTATAACTGTTACACATCAAATGGCATACAACTCCCTCTTACACAGTACATGTGCAGTGGTGGACAACTTACAATATCTACCTCTTACAAAGTACAGAGGTGGATAACTCACCATACCAACCTCTTACACAGTGCAGTGGTGGATAACTCACCATATCTACCTCCCTGATGCTGCTAAAAGATGCCACAGAGATGTCAACCAGGACTTTAACTGGACTACCTTGAATAAAACAAAAAGGACGCTCTGCTGAACTTTCTATATAACTTGAAATGTATGTAGATCTATTTTCACCTTGTACCTGTTTGGACAATCATTTAGCGTTTGTATCTATTTATTGAGACTTTTATTAGCCAGAATAATGTGTCCTCTTTGCCGAAGGCTGTATTTAATTTGCGCTTACTAGGAAAAACAGACTTTTCGCGTCAGATCAGCATTTTTCTATTTTTCCTCGCTCGAGGAGATGTCGTATACACGAGGAAGAGGGAGGGGTGAAAGGGGGAGTTTGATGCACTGACTAAAAGTTCAAACCAAAAAGACAATTTACGTTAATCCGGCTTGATTAAATGACCCTCCACAGAATTAAACTTGATTCTATTGAACAATTCGGTCAGGCCATAAGACTTAGTCGTTAGACTGTGTAAGGCGTTAAGTTTATATAAACAATTATGGAATTTTTCATTTAAACGAAATCGAAAAGAAGAATGTCTTACCTGTGTAGTTAGGCCTAATTCGCGAATCGTAATTACTTAGTAAATATTGCAGTCCTTCAGTCAACTTCTCAATGGCATCAGGAGATTCAGTTCTGTTGAATCGCACAAGGTGAGAATTAGAAACGAGTATTTCTAAAGAAGTAAATCAAACATTGAATTCACAGAGAAGTTTTCAATTTAGTGTTGAAAAGTAACCGGTTTTGCTTTGCTACGCTGCACGAATGGCTGAAAAATACTTACTCAACCTAGCGTGACTCGATCGCACACGTTTTCCCGCGCTTTGCACAGCTGACATTATATGACATATTTCTAGTTTTGATTGATTATTTGGTTTGTCTGTGTCCCTTGCGATTGGCCAGAGTGATTCTGGCTTTACGACACTCAGTGGGCAATCATGAGACGCGCCCTTAGGGCATCATGGTAGCTGTATTCATGAAAGCAAATATTCAGTCTAAGGTGATGAATACAACTTCCATATGATTCCCTCATAGAGGGAATTCTGAATTGAAACCCCCTTTCATTATATTACCAGTGTATCCTGGTATCAGTAATTATCTTACCGTTGACAATTGGAACACTTTGATTGGTTCAAGGTCACAAAAATCAATCTCATAATTAGGACGAAGTTGACTTCTCTCAATATTATAAACACCATATCTATTTTCACTCGGCCCGTGTTGTGGCTCATTAACCTGAAAGAGAAAATGCTTCAAAACTGAGATGTTTGACACCCAAATTTTGAGAATATATTCTGTATGTGAACTCAGTGAAGAAGACTGTGCGACGGATTGGCTTGTGGTATTCGTATTAATTCCGGCGCTATCTGAGGCTGAGAAAATCAGCGAAAAACAACGTGAACCAGCTTGTTGGCTAAAATATGACTTGTACAAACTGTTACGTAATTGTTTGGAGTAAAGCTAAGGGTTGTGTGCAAAAAATGGCTGGAAATAATATTCCAAGCTTAGAGCTTTTAGCACATAACAGCTGGAGTAATTTGCCGAATTTCGTCCGAGTTATTGATTGTTAATGTTAACGTTCTTTCAAAAAGCGGACGCTAGTAGGGCATGTCATAATCTGAAACAAAACTTTTAGAGGCTTTCGCACGGTTAATTCCAACTACTGATAATAATAGTATGAAAATGTAGCGATGATTTTCCCAACTTAGTTACATCGCTAAATATCAAATCTATAAAATTAGTTCCTCGGTCATTTTCAAACTCGAAGTCGGCGCATACGTTAGTAATTATAACAGTCACACTAATGGCAAAAAAACACGATCTGATTAGTTACTTTCATCTATTTTCTATAACAATGAAGCAAGGTTGATTACACTACGTAGAAAGCTTATAGACGGGACAACGACTTGATAGAGTCCGAACTGAAAGCCAAGAATTGCAACCATGGACAGCTGTTTCGACCTGGTTGGGTTTCGTCAGCACGGTGTAACAGCAAAAAGTAAAACAACTGGCTTGTGGACCGATTGTCTACTAAATGCACATGATAATGACCTCAGATGAAACTCATTGGTCAATGTCACACGCAAAACGCGCGACCCCTAGCAATAAGCAAAAATCCAGAATGAATTTAGCCCAGTTTAGATTCTTTCATGTCGTTGTCCCGCTTTCTACGTATTAATCAGCCTTGCTTCATTGTTGTGTTCTATTTTTGGCTGATCGGATCTTTTACAGATCCTACGTATACCGGCAGTGTTTTGGTTTACGGTCTCTTACATCATTGTATTGTCTATAACATGGTTAAACTAGCACTGAAATTAAATGATATATATATATATATATATATATATATATATATATATATATATATATATATATATATATATAT